CTGCATTTGCTTTGACACTAGTACTAATCACTATCTACATTAGAAAATCCAGACATCATCAGCCCACCTTCCCCTTGCCAGTAACCTCATTCACCCTTTGACTCTCACTTCCCCTTGTCTAGACTCGCTTGATGGATCATTTGGGCAAATGGACGGCGTTTCTGGACTCCCTACGCAAAGCAGAGCAGTTTCTCACCCAAGACCTGGTGAGATGGTGGAAGACGCAGCAGCGCCATAAGGCACCCTTTAATGCTGATGCCCTATCCAAGGGACATTCGGATTCCATGAGGAATCCAGCAACAGTAGGTTTCCGTGACTATGTAATCAGTCTACATCTTCGCTCTCAAGCCTACCACATTTATTTCTTTATAATAACCCGAAAAGTATGTTCAATCCCGTGTAAGACAGGAAGGCAACATGTTGAAGAGGTCTTGTTTTGAGGTCTGTTTTTGAAGAAATCTTGCAGCCTTCTGCTCTCTATTTGTTGACACATCATAACTGTCCAGCGAAGCTTAACAAAATGTAGGTAGATTGGCTCTTTTTGCACTTGATATCTGTTTTGTTGCGCAGCTATGAGGGATCTAATTGTTTTCGTAGTGCACCATTTTTAACTAGCTCCTTAGTGGACTTCTAGCGGTTCCACTCACACCGTTCTAACCCACTTTCCCACGGTTCTAGTCTCACTGAGGGTGATTACGAAATGAAGAGGCAATGTATAAACCACAAGACAGCCTTAGAGAGATAAGCTTTCTGGGGTGTGTGGCGAAATGAAATTGAGTGCAATCCTATTCATCGTGGGCAGTCTCGCCATCATTCCAATAAGGGACGAATCAAAACCGGTGCACTATACAAGGATTAGATCTTCATTGGAAAGGGATTCCTCCAAAATGTTTGAACCACTGTAACTGATGCTGACTTGCAATATGAGTCATATAAATAAGAAGACAAAAATGTTGCTGCCTTTACTTTATTGAGTTGGCTTTACCTCGCTTTCGCAGGAACATAACCAGTAATGCGAAATTATTTTCATCGTTTTCATGCGCTATTGACGGTATCCCATACCTGGTCCGGTGCTGGAACATCACATGGCCACCATGACAGGGTACACAACAGTGGAGGGTATATTCAAGGTAGCTTCTCTGAAAATAGGAATACGTTTTGAAGATGACGTCAAATCGACTCACTAATAACTGCTGGTGTGCTCTACCAAAACGGATTCTGGTGTCTGAATGCGATAGCGGAGTTGCCGAACTGCTGCTCCCTTTCAAGATCGCGACAGTCAAATGTTCGTCCTAACATACAGCTTTGTTCCAAGAGAAGGGATTGCGTAAATTGTACGCTTGCTCATGTACTCCCTGGGTAACTCACTTAACAAATGATGATTCTTAATTTCCTATTTTAGGTTTAAGTAGGTTGCGAAACTATCCATTCGTATTCCAGCCTCACACG